ACACCTCTGAGCTGCCTCTATGCTTCAGCAGTTCTGCGACTCCCAGCACAAGCTGTGCTTACTGGTGATGCTGCACGGGCCCCCTGGGGGGAAGGTTATGCATTATCTCTCGGCAGTATGCACACATGTGTTGGGTTTACGTGGCAAGGTTTTGGTAGCAGGGGGGCTGCAGGGGTGGCCTCTGTGAGAAGAGACCAGAAGCTGCCCCCGTGTTGGGCAGAGCCAGTTCCAGCAGGCTCCAAGACAAACACACTGCCATGTGGCTGCAGCTGGGCCAGAGAGGAGTGAGAAAACATGTGAAACAGCCCTTCAGGCGTCAAGGTCAGAGAAGAAGGAGGAGGAGGTGCTCCAGCCACCTGAGCAGAGATTCCCCTGCAGCCTGTGCAGAAGACTGTGGTGAAACAGGCTGTCCGTCTGCAGCCCATGGAGGACCCTACACCGGAGCAGGTAGAGATGCCCTTAAGGAAGCTGCAGCCCATGGAGAGCCTGCACAGGAGCAGGCTCCTGGCAGGAACTTCAACCTATGGTGGGGACCCCACGCTGGAGCAGGGGCAGAGCGTGAGGAGGAAGGAGCAGCAGGGATGAAGCATTACAAACTGACCTCAACCCCCATCCCCTGTCCCCCTGTGCGGCTTGCGGAGAGAGGAGGTAGAAAAGTCAAGCGTGAAGTTGCACCTGGGAAGAAGGGGAGGGAAGGTGTTTTTAGTTTTGGTTTGTGTCTCATTATCCTACTCTATTTTTAATTGACAATAAATTAAATTAATTTTCTCTAATTCCAGTCTTTTGCCCATTACAGTAATTAGTGAGCGATCTCCCTGTCCTTATCTCAACCCATGAGCTTTTTCACTGTATTTTTCTCCCCCTGTCCTGCTGAGGACGGGGAGTGAAAGCGCAGCTGGGTGGGCATCTGGCAGCCAGCCAAGGTCAACCCACCACATTTCTGGGAATTGCTGTGTTCTCATCACAACTTCCCCTCCACAGTTCAGAGATGTAGAAAAGAAAAAAAAAATCATCTTAAGAACAAAAAGCCCTTTCTAGATTTTTCTTGAGGTCTCCATATGGAGCAGAGCTTACGTGGTCTACTGTCGTGCTACAGTAATTTGCTAGTAAGCAAATATTCTGCTTTCTCACTTCTCAGCTGTCGTTAGGAAAGTGCACTTACTGCTCACTGCCTGTTTTTCATTTGGCTGAGAGTCTCTCTCCACCCCCCCTGGGTCTTTCAGAGATTTCCATCAGTACTGTGCCCTCACCATGCGAAATGAAACTGTCTGGCTAAGAGCTAGTCTCACCCATTTAGAGGAAATGCTCCTCTTCTTGGATGGAACCTTAGGAGACAAGAATAGGCCAGATCTGTTAAGGAACACAATCATATAAAATAGCCTCACACCTTCTCCATTTCCCCTCTCCCACACAAGTGACACCCAAAAGTCACTGGTGCTTGTTCTTTTAAGGAATAATTCATCACCTGTGCATTTCATACATCTACCAGTGTCAAAAACTACCCTGTACAGCTCAATACCCAGATCGTACCTAAAGAGCTTTTAGGGGAGGGGAAGGAGTTGAAGGACATGCACCCTATCCACAGGCCAAATATATCTGGAGAGCTCATAAAAAAACCCCAAGAAACAAAACAACAACAATTCAAGAGGGATCTCATTGCATTCATGGCCTAAAAATAGCAAGGGAAAAATACCATGAAAAGGCAGTACATCCTTCTTGGATCAATGCAAAAGCTGCTGATATTGCAACACCACATGGACACGTAGCGTAGCAACATGATAGAGTTACCAGTTTCACCCTCACTAGTAGGAAGAAAAAGAAAAGAAAATACACTAGGCAGGGCGTTGTTCTGAGCAGCACAAAGTCCCTAGGAACCAAACAAAGCACGTGAAAAAGGAGAAGGGAAGAAAAAGTGTTTATTTAGCTTTGCACTTGTTTGCATGCAATATAGGCAGCCTGAACACCCTCCCAGCCCCTCCCACTACTGCATGCACAGGGAATCCTGGTTTAGCTCTAGCCATGCAGCTTGGTGCAGAAACCCAAAATGAAGCCAGTGGGACCCCCTATGATGACAAACAAAAAAGCAAGGCACATGTTAAAAGTCAGGATGAAGAAGGACTATTCCTGTGCAGGGTCTCATTTTATTTTTTTCATTTTACATGTTTCTAGTAGCACATTCCTCATTTTTCTGGACTCCGTGAAACAGTGCTACAAACTCGCTGCTGGAAGGTAGTGCTGCTGAGGAACTGAAAATTTCACAGCAAAGTTATCCGCGACTTGGCGCCAGTTCCTTCCACAACCTCATCTGCTTGAGCCCCGTATTTACACTTTAACTAGCTGAAATTCTTGTGACTAAACTCTTGCAAAGCTGTTCTTCTGTTACTAGGAACCATGATGGATGACATGTAAGAGAAGGCAGAGAGGATGCAGTAAAGCTACTGCAGCTTAAGTTCACTGTGCCTCAGCTGAGAGGCAGCACCTGATCTGGGGAGCACTGCTGTGGATTGCACGTGCAGGGTAAACTGGGCTCCCTTAAACCAAAGGTTGCCCACTACTCAGGTGTATTATCCTTCAACACGAGGCACTGTGTGAGCCCCATGCCTATCATCTCTGCCCAGCTTTCTAGCTCAGACAGAGTAAGGCAGCCATGAGCCCTAGCTGCAGGCAGATTGGGAACCGCAAGAGTAATCCTCCTCTGACTCACCTGCCATCTAATACACTTCTGGTCATTCAAGGAAGTTGAAAAGTTTTCTGAGTTTGGTATCATATTCATCTGACACCTGTTTTTCAAGAACTGCTACATGGATGATGAGTTATGCGTTTATTGTAAACTTTGGAGATTACAGTAAACTCTGTTTATCTGGCCTTGAGGCAGATTTAGACAGTTCAGCTTCTTTCTTCTGAGATCCCAGCACTTCTCATTCTCTTGCAGTTCCTTCACAGCACCACCTTTTGTGCCCCATTTCAGTTCTTACTGCTCCCCAGGGTATCAAGTAACAAAAAACCCCTCCATGAGTCACAGGATGGGAATGTAAGAGGAGTATTTCCTAACAGGAAACTAAATATAAAATCAGTTTCAACTCCCTATGCTGCTTAATTGCATTCTAACCACAAATTTTCTTGAGGCCACATCTTAGTACAACACTTGGGATGTGGCAACCTAATATTAACACACTGCTTATATGTAAAGTGCTAGCAGATTTATGGTATTCTCCCCAGTGATGTTAATAACCTCTTAACTTTTGACTCTCTGGAAAACTGACCTATAGTAAACACAGAAGCTCTGAATCCACTTCAAGCAGCATTAAGTAGGCATTATTTTCAGTTGGAGAACTAGTGAAAATCTGTCCAGCTGGGGAAAACCACTGTCCAACAGACAGGATGCAGTTTGCAAGACCTGGATACAATAGCCTCATTTCTCACTTCACAGTGCCTGCGATGTTTTCCCCTCACTAGCAGTCTTATCTGCAAAAGGAAGTTTATAAAGAGAAAAGCCAGCCACATTTCCACAGCTATGCCCCTCAACAGCCCTTTGGATTGGTAACTACAGTTCGTCTCCTAAAACAAAAGCTCTGGTGTCAAAGTAATCATTACAACTGAATCTGCACAAGGAGGTGAAGAACTAGGAGCCCACAGGGAGTCCAACAGCTCACCTATGCTGGAGTCACACCTCCCTCTGTAGGCATGTCACTATCACTGCAGGATTTTCTCCTTTTCAGTGTTTTTCCATTACTTCATGTCACATATTACTTACCTTCTCCCAGAAATCACATCTGACTGAAGCGCAAACAGTACAGAAACCTCAGGAGGAAACATGAGACGGATCCCATGAAAAATGAAAAAAAATCCCAAAGAAATCTGAGGGAGCATAAAAATGATTAAGGTCTTTGACATTACAGAAAATGCAGACAGAAGGCATTGTTTAATGAATTACCATAGAAAGACCACAGGAAATATAGCAACACAGGTTAAAACACTTTTTAATTGTTTATTATAAAATACATCTTTACACATGAAGGCACTTCAAAACTATTACAAGCTATTTGTTTTCATACAAGCTATTGTTTTAGCTGTTAAACAAGTCCAAATATATTTTTTATCATCACCTAAAAAGGTGAAAAAATCTGAACTGCATCCAGTTGTTGTACATTCATTTTTCTAATGAAAAAACACTACACTTAATGACAACGAATAAGGACTTTAGCACCATCAGTTTTCTAGTTTCAGAGAATACAGTAACAATGTGGTGAGCAGATAGGTAAGAAGAGATCTGCACATGATGTTAATTAAAACCAAATCAACTCAACTCTGGTCATACAATATTGCTGAAAGACTTACGCTGTTACACCTGATCAGATGTTTCCCATCCGGAAAGGCTGCAATCCTCCACGCAAATAAAGCAGACCCTACTGAAAGCTAAATCAAGATTTCCCATTTCCCCCACAACAGAGGAGGCTTTTAGGGAGTGGGGTACATACATTGAATGGTTATAGTTGTAACAGCACTGATGAGCAGATAAAGGCAGAAAGGCTGTTTCTCTTGTACTTTTTATCTCAAGATGTGAAGAAAAATATTAAAAATTGAATTTTTATTCAATTACAGGAAATTGAACACAAGAATCTACATAAAACCTAGTCCACTGCGTGGCCATTTCCTCATACTGCAGCTCTCTACGGTCAAACCTTTCAGAAATAAGCACCTTTTTTGGAAAGTAAAAAAAAAAAATCAAATATTTAAGCAATTAATAATTCAAAAACAAATTACAGAGTTTGTAAACTTTCTACTCACTGCTGAGTAGGGTCCCTGCACACATACACTTTTAGATACTTTTTTCCTCCATCACTGCTGGCCAGATTCATTAGCTGAAACTGCTTGAAATCATTGCAGTATTCTTCCCTGGAACTGTGGTACAGCAGATCTTGCAGCATATACTAAACAAACCAAACAATGAAGTAAACAGAGCTCCTTAAACAAGTCCTATGTAATCGTTCAATTTTTTTTTTTCAGTTCAATATACATATGAACTGAAAAATACAGTGCTGAGAAGTTTCTCTATGGCTCTAAACTTAAATGCAGTTACAAAATAAGATCAAGCTACTGATTTACAGTAATGAATAAACCTTGACTTTTCTCCATTTTGGTAAAATAAACCCTACTAAATCCTCAGTGTTAAAAACTCAGTTACAAGAATTGGATGCTGGAATTTACAGATTTCCAATGAATCCAAGCCTTTAATAGCTATAAAACCCCCATATATACAAACACACCTTATCTGATGGGCTTACATTCAGTGTAGATACTACACAAGAGGCTAAGATCTTCAGGAAAAAATAAAATGAAGAGGTACAATTGTTAAATTAATTTGTGCATTTGAACAGCTGTAAGATGGACAAAGCCCCAGCTGTTTTTCAACCGTAACCAGCTTGTACTTCTTCATGGGTAGGCTGCAATGCATATGAACAGCTTCTATGGCAGAGCTGCTATCAGGCTTCCAACTGGAAAGAAGCAGCTCCCATGGCAGCATTTCCTAGCTCAAGAGAAAGGTAATTCAGACTCACTGAACCATATCTCAGTGCTTTATCAGATGTCAAGTGTCCAATTTAAGTCACTGCTATTTGTACTTTTTGATTATTGCCTTTGTTATTGCAAAAGCTGTCTGATCCACATCATAACATACACATTTACTGAAGTTCTGATAGGAGATGGAGCACAGCACAAATCATAGCTCAAAACAGCTCAGCTCTTCTTGAGGCTAAACGATCAACTTGTTCTCCACTCCAGTTACTCCACAGTAAAATAATGCATAAAATTTGACATTCTTTTAAAATAAGGCACTTTTAAACTTTCTTCCCCAAATACCAAAAGCTTGAGGAAACTTAACTGACTTCACTCATTTCCTTCTCATTCTTATTCAAAAAATAAACGCAATGTTACTAGAAGCTGAGTTACACTCAGAACTCACAATGCTCTAAATTAGGCTCGAGAACATCCAATATGGCTTTCTACAGATCACTCTTTTGCTAAAACAGCTCAAATAGAGTAACTTATAGCACAGCGTGGCCTTTGGGAATGAAGATGATCACCACCTCTCATTATCTGGTGTTTACTACTTAACCCTCGCTTTTTGCATCCTGTGGAAGTCAGGTGAAAGTTCAATGTTAAAGAAACTTGGCAGTGTCTGTATACAAAAGCAAGAAATAAATAGCGCAACAGCTGTATCCAACCCTGCAGCTTTTAGACCCCACAGAAAACAGACAGTTTTAATGATTTGCTCTTTCACTGACAACATCCTGGAGACGTTTAAGTAGAACGTCATCATTTTCCTGGCAGAGTCGCTTTGTAGGGGATTCAGTGTCACTATCAATTGTTATTGCTCGCTTCTTACTCCTGTGTTCACCTTGTTTTATCATATTGTTGATGTCCTTCAAACTCTACGATCAAGATAAAAAAAAGAAAAGTCACGAGTTACTACAAATCCATTTCAAACTTGCTCTGGTTTTCAATTACCTGAGAAGAAAAAGTTATTCCAAACCTCTTTGCTGAGCAAGTGATGGATTCTACATAAAGAATTCTACCCTTCACTGCAAACTGAGAGACTAGTTCAATGAAACCTCACTGCATTAGAACACGTCCTAATTAGGAGATTAACCCTCTCGTGCTTCCTACCTTTGAAGGGCTCCCATTAAATTTATACAGTAGTGCAGTTCGAGGTGTCAAGCAGGCACCGTTCTTGTGAGGCGAAACATAAACTGAGTGCTGCTGAGAGATCCGTCGAGGAGACACTGGCTGTTGCTTAATGTTGGGGAATGGAGACAAGGGAGGGGCTTCCATCTGCAAGAGAGGACAAATTTGTATAGGAGCTGAATCAGAAGATATTTCAGAGCAGTAACTTCACAGAAGGAAACATTAATACACTTCCAGATCTTCTTTAGAAGATTTTATCCCACAACAGTTAAACAGATCAAGTATCTACCAAACAACAGAACAAATGTATTTTCCAGATGCGTTACACAGATGCTCCACAGGCATTTGAACAAATGGGTGTTGCATCGATATAAAGAAGCTGAAACCTTGGTTGTAAACTGAACTGCATCTGCATTTGTCCCCTTGAAAGGCTTTTAAAGCAAGTCCCCATACCATTACCTACAACTACCTGACTTCTGTAACCACACCAGGTGGATAACAGAACAAAATTATTGACACACGTTTAACCATCAGGAAAAAACAAGTCTGTGTCTGATTATTAGAGTAGAAATCCAAAATACTTTACTTACTATGTGATCCTGGTTTGTGATATCGTACTTCAGTGCAAATGATTTTACTCTTCCTACATAGATTGCATTGTAAAATTTAATAAGATCTCCTCTCTCCTCTGTTCCCGACTCACTGGAGTTCTCTGCTGCAGATCGTCCTGAGGAACTGCCAGTTTTCACAGACGAGTCTAATAATAAGAGAGCGCTTCAGATTTCAGAAGCATAGCATCAGCAAACTGGGCGCTTCAGATTCAAACCTATAATGTCCAACTGACAAGAACTTGTCCATAAATTGACTAGTTAATGAGATGAATTAAAGAAATGTGCTTCAGACAGGAGCAGGGTGTGCTGTCGATGGTTATGAGCATTAGGAGGAACGACAAATCGCTGCTAGCAGGCTAGTGGATTATGGCTAAAAAGGCCAACATAAATCTTTATTCCAAACTTGGAAATAGCTGTAGCAAAAAATTGTAGCACAATTGACCCCTCTTCCCATGCTTATTTTGGGCAATGGTACAAAGCCATTTGGTGCTCTTAAAACTAAGTTTTAAGCAGTCTGACAACTCCTAGCTTTTAGCTTCTGTGAAAGTTTCTAGTGATCGGCTAGCGAAGAATAGCTTCATACTCAACTCATGTCTGCTGCAAGGAAGCCATGGCATCATTTGCTCGGACATATTATGAAACGGCTCTTCAGTGGAAAAAGCTGCAGCCACACAGCAAGTATATTTCTGTTAATGTTCTCTCTCCCCTAATTAAGCCGGACTACTACTGAATACAACCTTCTATGTTTCATCCTCCGTACTGCTTACTGCCAAGCAAAATAGGGCAACAAAGAATAAAACCTCTTGCAATCAGTGCACTACAAGACAAACATCAAAAGCTTCAGCTGATATGCAGAAGTGTAACTGCCTAGTGCCACAACAAAAGCATATGTTCCTGTAAGCTAGTGTTAAAAGAGCAGGATTAACACTAGATAAAGGAGATACGAGTCTATTAACTGAAGAAAAAGTCTGGCAGGAAAAGCAACAGAAGAACTTTGTAACAAAGTACATTTGTTTGACAAAACACAAGAACTCCAGATGCTCTACAACATCCAAGAACTGTGGAGCTACTAGACAGGATGCTGAACCTACAGGAGATCAGCACTTTCCTGGAACCTGGTGGAATCCTCAAAAGGCATTTAAAAAATGGCTCTAATACTAATTCAAACAGTTGAAATCCCACCCACAGTGGGAATTTACCATACAGAACAGTCTTCTAAATTTCTGTGTGTGTCCTGACTGCAGATCTGCTCTGCTCATGGGTTCATATATGGGCTTGTGATCTCAGTTTCCTGACACATCATTAAAAATGGTCATGGCACAATTTTCATGCTTTTCTCAAATACTACTCTTGTCCCTATCTCTTTTCTCCTCTAACCCAGAGCAAACAATGTATCAACTATTTAAAAGAAACCTGAATATAAGAAAATGGTGCTCTTAGCGAGTCACCATTTTATTTTCTGAAACAAGTTCTCCCTATTTAAGCCTTCAGGATAGATGATATTACAAAAAAACCTCAAACAAAACCCTGTCAATTTTCCAGGTACCGTTCATCTTTCTTTGTTAACCAGTGTTGCTGTCCAAGAAGAACTACACTATCACGAACACTAAGGAAACACCTCAAGCTCAAGCAATCAAATTTAAGGAAACAAAATTAAACATTTTTTTTTCAACTAGGAAGCATATTTTCCATATCTAACACACAGGAGGACTACTGACAAGATGGTTTCTTTTTCAACAATGCATTTGTTTTTCTTGAATGCATTTAAAACTGTAAAACTTGCTTCACTTCTCCTTATTACTTGACAATTCAGTTCTTTAAAAGCCCATAAGTACATTTTCAAAAACTGCAGATTACTTTGCTGTACCTACCTTCTGTCATCTCCACATCTTGGTTTGCGTTTTTGTCCAATAGGACATCGGCAGAAATATTTCTCAACAAGACACTCCTATAAACCTACCAGGGAAAAACACTCTTGTCAAGGAAAACAAGGAAGTCAAAAGACTAGATGAAATCCATTTGAATAAGAATGAATATAACACTAAAGAGGATTTGACTTTTCCCCTTATCAGTATAAACATTTGAAAAGCCACCTCTACCTAAGATTTATAAAACGGAAAGGCAATATTATTTACTCACATGGCTGTTTGCTTGTGGCTGATTTCTGTAACTTTTCATTATGTCCTGAAAAGTTCTTTCCTCTTTGGTTACCTGGAAAAGAAAAGGCTATTGAAGACCAAGTGCAAGCAGCAAGGTCGGGCTGCTCAGGTCCAGTCTATTCAATTAGCTTCCCTCTATACAGCTTTTTTGTATTACTATGAATACATAATTTAAAAACTTAGTTCCAGTGAGGAGAATATGAAAAACCAAGCTTTTTTCTTGTTCAGGCATTCCTTGTTTCTTAGCTATGAAAGCCTTTATGCTTATGACACTTAGGAATTATTCCTTTTCCAACTTTTCTTCTAGTGATACTAAAAATTAAAGAAGGGAAATATTAAGTCAAAAATGTATTTGTAAATTTGAAAACTGGACGCCTTAACTTTTCTAAACAGAAAATAAGGAAATCCTGAACAAAACACTAGGCAGGTATATACACACATGCAATTTCAGCTTTCTTTCGTACTTCAAAATAGCTCATTTGTTAAAAGACTTTGTTTTTTAGCTATGCATCTGTGATTTTAATAGCGGATGAGCAACAACTTTTGTAGCAGGAGCCAGGAGAGAATGAATATATCAAGATCTCTGGCTAAATTGTCAGGTCTCACACTGCACTGGAGACAGCACTCAGAAGACTGTATTTAAAAAAAATAATTGACAAACTACATGATAAAATACAGAGCACTGACTACTCAATGGTTTTGCTTTTCTACAGCTATCAGTATTGATGTCAAATGAGCCTAAGCTATGCTACAGTTAAGAGCACAGGTACTCACTATTTGAACATCAGTCTCCCTCCACAGATAGTGCTCCTCTTCATTTGTCTTCCTCAAGAAGAAAAGGTAATCCATCCCCAGTGTTTTAGAGGAGCCTGGGCTTAGTTTCACTTTCCTGAATTTGTGTCTGAATCAGACTTGACAGCCATTGTAACCATCAGCTCTCAAGTTTGAGTCAAACCAATATTCCAGTTTCATAATCCAACTTAATAACACCTTAAATTAATGCTGGCAAACTGAATAATAAATGAAGAAGTACGAGTAACAGGCAACCGGCTCAATTCCTCAACCTGAATCTTCAAAAGCTAAGAGGATTTTTGTGGAATAGAAGCTTTCCATCCATACATAAGCTTGTGAGCTCCTGCAGATTTTTGCATAATTCTGTAACTGTAATGGCTTTTTTAGTTCAGATTACATAGATCATGAAGATGACAAACAGGGTAGAAAACACAAATATGGGCCTGACAAGTGCTCATTGTGAATGTGCTCAGGAAGAGAAGAAAAATCCTCTCAACCAACTTGCTGGTTGATGGGAACTTTTAAGATTATGCAAAACAAGGAAGAAATATACTGGGACTTCATCCACTTCTTGGAAGGACTTTTCACTTGCCTCCAGTAATACGACATGAATAAAGCAATCAAACTGTAAACTGTGAACACAATTTACATTTTCAATTGACATAAAACTCCCTGACTTCCTTAAAACTACAGATTACCTTTGCCATGATATAAAAGGCACAGAGGAGGAGCTGGTCCAAATGTCTGTCCTTCATTAGATCAGCACAATGAACCAATGTGAATTCAAAGCATGTCCATATCTTCCTGCGCAAATCATTGGAAACATCCAATTTTAAGCACAGATCACGCAAGCGCACACTTGCCAGATGATAAACCTGGAAGAATAAGACACACAGTAGAGTCAAGCCAGACGAGCTTAACCTAGTCTGCAAAAATGAAAGTCCTTAAAGTAGAGCTGTTCTATATTTGAATAGTTCATTTCTGCAAAGTTTCCCCCCTCTGCCCAAGACAATGTCTTCAAAGACTAAGTTGTCAACTCTGTTCAAGTGTCAGATCTCTAATGCTTATAGGAAATCTGCTTAAAAACATTACGACTATAGCTTCTATACCATATCACTCACTCACTATAATGGAACACTTCCAGCAAGCACAAAGAAGGGACATACTTTAATGATGATTAAGTATAATCTTAGATTAGCAAGCTGCCAGATTTTTTTTTTTCTTTTTGATTACCAAAAATCTGTCTCAAAACCTGAAATAACTATCAAGTGCAACATTAGCCTTCTTCCATTTATTTCAGAAGTTCTCACTTCATGGATAGTAATTAGGCACAATATATTGGAAAGCAGAAAGTTAATTTCATTTTCACTTGCTTTACTGAACAGGAACAAGAAAGGAAAAGTAGGGAAAAACTATCATTTTGAATATGATGATCACTGTAAATAGAAGATCAAAATTTAAAGACAAATTTAAGCAAAGATTTTAGTTCTCCTTCATAACTAAGAGGAATATGTTGCCTACCACATTGTTTGTCAAATACATGGCTACAGCTGAAGTATTCCCTGACAGAGTAAAGCTTCTAAAATGCAGTCTGAGTTCATGCCTGGCAGCTGGCTAACCAATTCTTAATTCATTCTCAAAGACAGACAGACTGTCACTACCAAAATGAAAGAACCAATAGTTCAGACACAGGATGTGGCTTACAAGTGTTTCCAGGAATTAGTTTCTGTATTAAGATTTACCTTAAGGATTGTTCAATGTAGAATTCTCTAGGTTTACAATAAAGATACCTTAAAAGAGGAAAACCACTGAAAACAACTTCTCTAGTAAGAAAATAAACAGCAAAAGAAATCTAATATTTTTGAGAGATTGATTTAGGAATATGTTCTTTGCAGGTGTTAGGCAAGTTACCCCTGCCTCCTCCAAAGACCCCTCACACACTCCACACCAGAAATGAAAGCAACTAGAAACAAGTAATCTGAAGTTTCTCTGAAGCACACCCAGTTCTTAACTTATCCCTTAAATCCTTCATTATTTCAAGAAGTTCCTTCTTTCTAGAAATTTTTAGATAGTGTGTTACTCATCATTGCTTTCTGAGGCCCCATACCAGCAAGATCAGCACTACTGGGTAGACCTCAGAAAATAATCCCATTTCTGGTATGTCTAACCCTTGTAAATGCGGCAGGCAGTAAAAATAGACAAGAGAAGTAAAACTACCAGTATTTCTTAGGTAGTTATTTATAGAAGCCGCTAATTAAAAGAAAAAAAAATATGAAACATCTCATGGGGAGGGGAAGAGGGGGAAACTGGATTCTCTGCAACACTTGACAACATCTTTTCCCTTCTCCTCCCAGGTATATAAGAACTGCTCATGCCAAAGGAAAGGTACGCGAAGACTGACGGTAACGAAAACTGTACAAAGAGGCAAGTTTCAGTATGGCCATGAACAGAAGTGAAGCATGACTCCCTAATAAAAACACTTACCTTTCTGTAAAACAGGGCCAAGGATCCTGTTTTCTTTGGTTTGCTTGCTGATGACAGATGCACTTCTTGTACTTGATTCACCTGAGAGTGGCAGGGAGCCTGAGCCTCCATTTTACACGGCTGACCTAAATTCATCGAAATGGGTATCAGTGTGATTCCACCCATTTCATTTGCAACACCTGGAAATGATATACGCATCCAGAAATAAACCATTTGCTCTCCTCATGCTGCAGAGTTAAATTGCAAATCATAAATTCATTCACAAACATTTCATACTAAAGACATCTCATCCTTCTGTACTGGATGCTAAAAAGGCTCTTTGTCCCTCAGAGCCTTCAGAAATGATTAAAAATTACATTTCTGGTAATGCTTAAAGGAAGAACATGAATGTGAACGATCATTTCTAAAACTATCTGAAAGCACAAAGTTTACAAGAAATCACAATTTCTGTAGGCAGTGTTCCACTCTTTTGGGGGAGGTGGGCACTCCCTTTCTTTTTTTTGTATTATTATGCAAACCTGACAGCACATCATATACAGTCCTCATTAATTTCCTCAGTAGTCAAATTCTCTTGCTGAAAATCTCCTTAAGCATGAAAAGTGGAGATTTTTTACTTTTCATCTTTATCTATAGACCCAGTTTCAAAATTAAAAAAGGCTATAAAACTCATTTGTTATTTATCATTTTCAGAAATATTCAAGCATCACCCAACTTCAACAAAACAAAAATCCCCCACTATTTTGCTAATGTTAATATGCAGCCCTAATTCAGAAGCCTTTTAAGAAAGGCTTAATATGCAGAAATTCCAGAGCCTTTTAAGATTATAATAGACCAAAGTTAAGACAAACAGTAGTAAATCATTATTGGAGCTGAGAACCAAAGCATTGCTTAATCAGTGGTGAGATGTAACTGGAAGAAGCAAGAACTCCACAACTTTGTTCGCAAGGAGGAATCCTCAGGATGCTTGTCAGATATCAAATGTCTCCATGGAAGGAGACATCAGTATAAACGTAACCTTTTTTTTTTTTTTTTTGATAAAGTGATACATGTTCTTTTAAAAAAGAAAAAGCGATACATGTTCGCTCTGAGCAGATCTTAAGAAGCTGCATTTATTTGCTTAAGAAGCAAAACATCTGATAGAGAAGAAAAATGGGAAGAATTCATACCATGCAGTGGGATAGTAACCTTCTGTCCAGTTTTTCCTGGTGCTGTAGCTGTTGTCATGGTCAGTACTGTTTGGCCAGGAGAAACTGATACATTTTCAGCAGCAATACTTGATGCTGGAGCAATTGTCAACTTAGTTCCTTCGGTTAAAATTTTTTCCATCTGCATTTCTTTGGGGCTGTCATCTCCAAAGAGCCTTCTCTTAGCACTTCCAGCTGTAGGAGAACTGTAGCGCTCATGAACAGAGATTGGTGACAATGGCTGCATGTCTAGTATGCAAAGGAGGGGGGGGGGGAAATAACCACCTTAAGTGGAGCAGCTTAATAGGAATACTTCTCCATAGGAGGGGAAAAGGCTAACCTTCAAACTACAAAACCAGAGTACAAGAAAACACTTCTAGTTAAGAACTAATCTCACAGTTCACTGTTCTTAGGCGATATGAACAAGACCTATAGCCTAACTGTCTCCTTATATTTTTCAGTCATCCCAGACAGCTCAGTTTCACAATCGGGTACCAAGTGGAAGACAAGAGTAACCAAGCTAATTTCAGAGACCGAGGAACATGCAGGATTACAGATACTTAGAATCATAGAATCATTTAGGCTGGAAAAGACCTTCAAGATCATCGAGTCCAACCATCAACCATGCCCACTAAACCATGTCCTGAAGCACCCTGTCCACTTGCTTTTTGAATATCTCCAGGGATGGTGACTCAACCACTTCCCTGGGCAGCCCATTCCAATTTTTGACAACCCTCTCAGTAAAAAAATTTTTCCTAATATCTAACCTAAATCTCCCTTGCCTCAACTTGAGGCCATTTCCTCTTGTCCTATCTCCAGCCACCTGACAGAAGAGACCAACACCCACCTCACTACAACTGCTCCAGTCTGCTTAGCAGATTAGTAATATTTGCAAGTGATATTCCTCTGAACACATTCCTTTACAGGAACACTGACCACATTCCCTGGATATGCTGTCTTCTGCATGTTCTGGCTTTTAAACTCTCTCTAAACTAACCCCTGTCAGAAGCCTCCACCCTCATCCACCCCTGGTTCCTCTCAGGCTTTTCTGTTGCTTTCAAACATTTGCTCCAGTAGCAAGGCTGAAGTACACAATACTAATTTACAGGCTTCTGTTCCTCTGGATTTTTGCATTTCTGTTGAAGTCTGCTAGCCACTTACGAGGACACCAATGACACCAGTTTCCCATTTCCCACCAAGCAGAAACCTGGATAACTGGCCAAGTAAGACTGATTGGAGACCTTACTTCTAACTCTGCCAGGATGGTTTTCTTAGTACCAGGGGGAAATAAACATCTCCAATCCCCACCACTTTCCATTTGAAGTTAGGAGGAGGGTTTGGTACCAGATTCTTATATACAAGATGAAATCTCACACAGCCCTACCCATATATGACACCATCTCCAAGTTGCTTTCCCTTCCACCAAACAACTAACCATGACATCTACAGCAACTGCTTATACATCTCTTTCCTAATGAGTATTTAAAAAACAGTTTTGTAATGCAATTTGCCATACAAACACAAAAGGAGACAACATCACAACACCAATCAGTCCATAGTGCACCAGCAAGAACCTATGGACTACTGTTTGGGATACAACAAAAGCAGCAGTTCCTAACTAGGGAAGTACGAAAAAGCAACAGAAGTGCTGCCACTGCCTCTTCACTTTCACTTGCAAGAGAGTTCTGTGTGATACCTAGGAACCTGCAAAGAGCTAGGCAGCTCTTCCGAGGGAAGAATACTGCAGACAAAGTACTGTCCTCCCCTCCTGAAAAAAAAAAAAAAGTTCTGTAGGAAGGGGGAATAAATGCAGCTGTGGCATTCCATTTGAAAAGTCACTAAAATCCCATCAAACTCACTGAGAACAAACAACAACAGCAGCAAAAAAAAAAAACTCCACTGGAAAAAGCTGAACAGCAAAGGACAATAAGCCATCAGATGACAACCCACCTGAGAGTGAGGTAACCCTTGCATCATAACAGCAGCAAAACCTGCTCTAGTTCAGAACTGAAGCATTATCACCAATGTCCGCTGCCAGTAAGACACAGGAATCTAGACTTTCCCTTGATCAAATAAGACGCTTCACAATTCTGAATGCTTAATTCAGATTCAAGATTGCTTTTTGCAGTTACAACTAAGTCTAAACCTCCTCTCCCCAAATTCACACATTCAAATCTTATCAGAAACCTTGAACATACCCCGTCTTAAACTCCCACCAAGATCTGTCCGAACCTCTTTTACTCGAGGATGAATTATAGGAGATATCGGCATCATAGGCAAATGCCCAAGCCCACTTCCTCCATTGCTTGCTTCGAAATTACTGGGAAATATTACCTGAGAAATAAGAAATGTTAGTGTAAGATAACAAATAAATTTCCCTTCTTTGTGCCAATCTATTAATAGAAGTTTTTCTGCAGCAATTGTCTCATTTCAACAGGTTTTACTATAAAACAACAGTAAGAAAAAGAACATAAATTTCCTAATAAAAGGAAAACAGGTAACATACTTCTTCACAGGTTGGGACCTTGTTTTCTGAGGCCTGGAGAGCATTCCAGAGTGCTGAGTCCCGAGTCCAGGCGAGACTCTCGAGAATTTGTTCCTCAATGCTGTTGAGGTGCTTCACCATGTCTCTGGAAAGTCCGTCCTCAGACCGAATCAGTACTTCAATTACCTAATGGTAATAAGACACAAGCACAAGAGCAAAGTCATATCACTCATGCTTAACACTATCAAATCATTTGTTTCAGGATCCTGTTCAAAATGTCTCTTCAACATAGAATGCTCCAGCCTCCTTCTTGCATCTTAATCTTCCCTGACCCTCTTCTGATACCTCTTTTTTTAACCCCCTTTCCCAAAGGCAATCCAGGAGTTAGAAGTAGACAGCAGATGTCCCATCAATGCAGAACAACCCACTCCCAGGGTTTTTTTTACGGCTTTCTCTCACCATTGCTAAGCATGTACAGAATGAAAGTACTAAGTACACACAGTGCTCATCCAGCATGTGCAGCATACCTAGGAAGATATAAGCAGGTATATCCGCTTAGGATGGGTACATGAGAAGCCCAGCATTTAAGCTTTTCTTCCTTTCAAACAAGCACCCCATAATGAAAAGGGTTCAAAACCACTGTTTTAAAGTTTCATTTAAGAAAAGATTAGAACCCTTAACATGTACAAATCAGGGTTGAAAAGAGATGAAAGGGCCCTTGAAATACCATACTCCATCCCTATGCTCCAATGCAAGATCAATTTTATTTATGTTATTTCTGACAGAGGAACATTCAGCCTGTTTTTCTAAAGCTTCAGAGATGGAAATGCCATAAAACTTCCCTGGAGGACTTACTGGTGTGTTTACTTATTTATACTACAGAAGCTAAGCACGCAAAGAACAAAGATACAAATGGCACAAATGGAATAATAAATATTGGTTCTCTCCTGTGAAGTCTTTGTGATGGCAATTTTTTTCAAGTAAGAGTGCTGCAAGAATGTACACTGAACAGCAAAGAAAACTAAAATCAAACATAAATCTCTTCCACAAAGTTGGATCTGCACCAGTGCATCTGGTATTGATGTAGGCTACCAAAAGCCACAGCAATATTGACAGATTTGTTTCAGTTTCACTACTGCTGTACATCTGAGGATTAAAGAAGGGAGAACGGAATATAAAACAGCTTTCCCAAAGGGTACAATTTTTTTGGTTGTTATCATCTAAACAGAACTACTTCTGATTTATTCAGGACTAACCGCAGTAAGCTGTTAGGTATCTAGTAAAAATAGGAGGCACACAGATAGATGACAAAAGCATCAAACAAGTCAAAGAACAGAAATGACATTGGAGGCAGGGGGGAATGAGGTTAAAAAAAGAGCAAAAAGAGAATGCCCAGGAAAAGAAATTTTATGTTCTGTTATATAAAACAAAACAGAGAAGAAAGTAAAATTTAACAAAGCAAGCCTGTGATAAGTAGTAGTAGCCAAAGGCAACAAAGAATATTATTGCTATTTTATCACTAATAATCAGAACTATAGCTTGCAGTCAATAAATATGAATATCACCAAATTACATGCTTGAATGCTTTACTCTACTAAAAGTGTGTATATATATAAAGAACTAAAAGTTTATCAACAGCACATTACAGTAAGTACCATTTACAAAATGGTTTTTTTGCTTTAAATTTCAGCTTCAACTCCAGCATTACACATTCCAGGTAATACACTTAAGGACAGACAGAATTTAGAATAGGCATATTATACACTAACATCAGTCCTACTCCTTGATTACCTAGGAAGGAAGAGCATCATCCTCTAAGACTGTCAATCCAGCAACATACCATTTTTAATACAGATCTAGTCCTAAGACAGTATTTATTTACCTTATAGAAATAGAATGGCCTGAGGTCAAGAACTTCAATGATCCAGGGAAAGGTACGAGGTGAGCTATATGCAAAAAGCACGATCTCCAAGCAGCATGCCATGAGCGAGCGGTGAAAGACATCTTGTTCCAAGAGAGCCTGAAAAGATTACAGAAAATGTCAATAATCTGAAGTTTGGGAAATGAAGTTTGAATTTTGTGGCACTAATACTACATAGCTTATTGCTGGAGAGAAGAGCTACTGCTTTTTTCTACCTTCCACAGTCTCCTCTTTTTACAGGGAAGTTTAGAATGATAAAGACTAGAATTAGATTAACAGTGCCAAAACCATCACATTTTTCAGACTATGGCCAAATGAATTGGCCTCCTTATTGTGAATCACAAAGCAGAGCAAATGCACTGCTGTCTAACATGAAGTACTGATATTAATTGGATAAAGAAGAGAAAAAAGTTATCTGTCCATAAAGTCATGATGCTAGAAGGCAACACAAATCAAGATGGTTAGTTATGCCAGAATTATACCATTTTAACAGCAGAAAAAACTACATTTAGGGACCTCCCATATATTTCCCCCTTTTTAATATCAACAATATAGACAGACTGCTTTACTGCAGACTGTTCTATTATGGAACTGTCTGAAGATAATCCCCTGGGCTTCTGCTTTGCCCTTGTCTCTGCAGAGAGAGTCTTCTCCTTTTTTGCCAGTTCTTTACTTACAGTCAGATCCTTCCCTTGTAGTCTTCGTGTTTCTTGCACCATTACAGTCTCCAAGATTTTATAGTACAAGATCTCTGCCAGTTTTAATCTGTTTACAGCAAAATCTGAAATTTAAAACCAACAGAGATAAGCTCAATGCCGTGTATGTATAGACTCTGCAAATCAAAAAAGTATGTTCAGAGATCAAGAACAGCACAACATTCTAGAAATGTTTTAAAGGATTATGTATTTTAATATTGCTGGTGATGTAATTTTGCAGACAGGTGCAATAATAACTTTCCTATTTGTATTCTGTTTCCTTTAAATTTTAAATCTAAGACGACTGAAAGTTTACAATTTTTATTAAGAGCTGCTATAGTTTCAATGCTCTCTCAGTTATCCCATTTTGAACTGCAACCTTGGTTTTACTCTGTAATAAAGTTTTATTCCTTACAGCGTTCTGTTTGACAGCAATAGTTTTCTGTCTGGATATGTTCTGGGTTAAAAACAGCTCCACTGTATTAAATACTTAGATGATAGTATATGTATGCATTTCACTTGCCCTGGTTTAATATTTTGAAACATCCCATGCATTTCACATCCATACCTATATGAGATCCTGGCTGTTCATCTGTTGATTGAGTGTAGCTGCGACAGAACATCTCACCTATTTCTTTCACTCTGCTCGTAATGCTTCCCATAGGGCTGCGTGCACAAGACCTGAAGCAGAACGCAAAGAGAAAGCCTTGTTTGTATAAATAAATATCCAGTTTCAAAAAAAACTCAAGAAAAAACAAATAAAAAAATACCACCCAAATAAAAAGAAGAGAAGCTAGTTATACCGAGCTTTCCTTATCAGACAATAACCTGTATTACCACAGAGAACAGAGGAAAACATAAAACATACAGAAATATTGTTTCCTTTTTTCCTTTCCTAAGAGAGTTAAGAGAGGCTATGTAGATTTTGGAACAAATGCAGGAGAAAGCAAGAGCTACAGTAGCACACTCAGGAGAAAAACCTATCTGCTAGGAGCAAGGTAGTAGGAAGGATGCTACAACAGACAACCAAACACATCCACAAGACCACACAAACCAGGTGCGGTTTGAAGGAGTATAGGAAAGCTTTCAAAGTGAAGAGTAAGCTTCTTTCCAAAAATACCTGATTTACTAGCAAGGCAGAGAGGAAATGACGAACTCCACACAGTCACTATCATAAAAAGGGGCCAGAGAATCTCTCTGTCTGGAGATGCTCTTTCTGAATGCTTCCAGATTTTCCAGCAATTCTGTATTAGAGGACAGTGGCTTGTGACTAGTGTCAAATTAAGACACTAAACTATTTTGAAAAGCTAGCATTGAAATAAACTAAGGTTTCATTGAACAAAGCCTTCTAATTAACTTCAAAGTTATATTTCCAAGGAATGTTACTTTGAAAGAGAAAATATTCAAAAGCATAGAATATTACACATAGTCCAAAACACATTTCTTTCCATTTCTCCTAATCAGACAGTACATATCCTAGTGTTTGCTGAACTCATATCCAAGATGAGCAAAGTACTCAAAACATTTCTTGTCAGAGGTTTACTCAATTCTTTTCCCCGTTTTAATATTTACACCTCTCTTGACAGACTGGTTTATTACTTGAACAAACATATTTTTCATTAGAGATTGCAGACACACTAATGCTTTAATTGTGTAATATAAATAATATCAAACAGTCCTTACAAAAACACAATCAAAGAAACATTCAAAACAGAAAGGCATCTTGCTGAGCATTTGTAAACTTTTAAGAACAAGCGCTAGCAAAACTTTCAAAATATATGTAACTCCAAAGATGAGAACTAAAAGTAGTATTTTTCACCTATTTATGAAGGTTGCTTTATAAAAAAACATTACTTTTGCACTTCAGCTGTTAAGTGCTAATACTAAACGTCCATTCTGATTAATAAAAAAAAAAATCCAGATACCTTACACCCTAATACCGCAAGGGCTTAATTTGCATGGATGTTAGGCAAACACCCAACAGCTCTACACATATTTACTATTAAATTATTGCTTTTTATGAGCTATGAAGCAACACCAATCTACCTTTTACTGAAACTATTTTGTTTATACTCATCTGCTTATGTACCAACATTTTCATGTGCATTTCACTACAGCCAGCATGCAGTCATGCATTCAGGAGCCAAAAATATAGGTTGATCTATATAACTGGGACTCTGTCCTAGAAATGGTGATCATGAAAGCCTGGGGTTGTGTTCAGTAGTCACTTATTATGATTTCCCAGTATCATACAGCAGCTGTAAGGGCTGAGCAAGAGGCTCTTGACTAGGAATGCTCTAACTCCTGCTGTGACGCCTGCCCTAGGACAGACATCACGGCTCAGGGAGGAAACCAATAAGCTGAAGCATGCTTAGGGAGCGACCACCAGAACAACTAGAGAAGTGGAAAACATTGCTGCTGCTATACAAGACATCAGCATTGACAATAATTAGGGCCACTGCTAGGCTTATATATATGCTATAAAGTTAGATTAAGATATCCTGAAGTAGTATGATGAAGAAATGGGGAGCCTTCAGGCTGCTTTTAGTCATATCTTCACAACTCTTTAAGGCAAAGATTATAGCTTGTTGACTCTAACGTTTCCCTCCTCCCCCAAAACCTCTGCCAACATAGCTACCAGATCTTTTAAATGAGCCATACTTGTTTAAAAATTAAAACAAACAAACAAGTATTTGGCTTTCAAGCAGACAAACAGCTAAATTAACATTAGCAAAAACTGAAGCTACATTAATACAATGGTGGCAACAAGTCAGCGGGGGTGGTGTGTGTGTGTGTGTACAGCTATCCTTCTCCAGAAGATGAGATCATCTAGAAAACAGAAGATCTTTCAACTAGAAATAACACAGAAACACAGACAAAAATATTCTGCACCAAACAAAAAAAGTCAAATCTGAGCAAGAAAGCAGTCACAAGCATGACCAGATGAGTTTCCGTTTGTATGAGAGCAGCTGCAGTGGACGTACTTACTCAAAAATAGTTATCAGTTGTTCACTCGGTGCGTTTTTCAATCCAGCCACAATGCTCTGCAACCGGCTCACGCTTTGTGTTGCTGAAGCAACAGGTGTGATGACAGCTTCTTTTTCTCGTAGGTATCTCCTTCCAGTCAGTGGAGTTGAAGGAGCAAATGACCTTTTCTGTCAGAGAAAAATAATAAATAAGATCAGTCAACAGAACTGTTTCAAAAACCTTTCAAGTGAGCATCTCCTGCAAAATCGCTCCAAAGATTAAAATGACACCACTAGTACGCTATCTGAAGGCTGCCATCAAACCTGTCATTTCAAAACTGACTACAAATTAGTTAAAGTTTTCTCAGAACTCCATAAATACAAAATACAACAAATCTTCAGGTGGACTAAAATTAACTCAAAGGTTTTTTAAAAATAAAATATAGGAAAATGAGACTTTAAATCTTAAAACCTGTTCATTTTTAAGCTCACTTGAACACTGAAAAATACAGGGCAAGAAAGAGAAAGTGTATGCTTCCACTCACTGAGTGACACAAGGAGTATGTGGCAGAGCTACCTAGGAGAGGGTCAGAGGCAAACATTCTTTGGGAAATGCTGTCCTGGTGGACTTAGAGCCTCCCTTATTCAAAGAATGATGTAGAACTAAGCAGAAGGAGCTGTATCAACCACACTTACTTATTTGTATCCTGCTTTCTGGCAGTGATGCAATAAAGTATTTGGTTCTGAATTATTAGAACAGACTACATTTTGAAGACACAAGGCAAATAATGAGGAAAGGTTAAGCCTGCAGTCAGTATGCATAAGTAGCAACGAGGACATTATTATACTATAGAAACTGAAGTTCAAAAATCGATAAACTCACTCCAAATCCCTGTCTTTAATTTGCCTGAATATGAAATACACTTGTATTTGGGAGAAAAAGCTAAGCCATATAATTAATTCACACCAGCACTAGTATCTTGTAATAAGTACTCTTATTTTTTAACTGACATGTAAATCAAACAGCATGTAGTTCTTTCACACAGCCAGCACCATTTTTCCACCCTTATCCAAGTTAAAAAGTAATCAATCAAGTGTTTTCCCACATGCCAACTTCATTAAATACATTTTACATTCTTAAACATAGTGAAACATTAACTCTGTTTACAGGTTACTTTTTGTAATGAAGAATTAGACTTTGGTGGGTTTTATGTCTTGAATGTTATTTTCCATAGAATAGTACACAGTTGACTTTTCCTGTCCTAAAAAAGGAATTATTGGGAAAACAAATAAATTAATCCAGCACAAAGGTTTCATGGTATTCTTGTGGGGTATAAATGAATTTTGAACAAAATGGTAAGACCTATATATTTAGGTCTCATTGATTTTTCTTGGACAAAAAACAGACTACACGCATGAAAGTGCTCTCATCCTGTTTAAGGAATAGTTATTTACTAAATTCCACAGGAAAGAAGACATCACCATTTCTCCTTAGCAAGACAGCATCCACTGAAGCCTGCAAATGGCATTCATCATCTTCCTCTCAGGAAGAAGCTGAAGAAATTCAAAGTCACCTCAGTGATTTAAATAGCATACAAAGATGGAAAAACTTGAAGGAGTACTTTAAGCAAGATCAACATGTTAAATGAATCACCTTTTCAAAATGCTGCTGAAGATGACACTCCACATGAGCTCTTGCTGCTGTTTTCCCTACTGGCACGTCTGCAGGAAATTTCCGAGGAGTGCCAATTTCTTCTTCAGCATCAGCTCCTAGGAAAACTCTCTCATCAAAGTCACCCACTGTCAGAACATACTCTTCGTACTCTTTATTCAGTGCTTTGCTGAAAGAGAAGCCCAGGTTTTATATCAAAGGTTAAACTGCTGAAGAAATAAAAAAGGTGTCAGTGGAGCTAAGGTACAAAACTGAACCCAACATGTGTTCAAAACGTTTAATACTTTCAGCAGCACTGCTGCTTGTAAACAAAACTTCACTACCCCAAAGAACCTGCCTGCAGTCATCCCTACCTTCCTTCATACTTAAACCTCACCTGTTCTCTCAATGACCTGCTGCAGGGACCACTCTTCCTCCTAACTTACCACAAACATTTGGCTCTCGGTAAGAGGAGGAAAAAACAACTTTACTTCTTTCCCAGTTGCAAATAAAACAGTTTGGAAGTACTCAGCTGATCGGAGGTTAAATCTTTTATACGTGGAGCACATTAATGGTAGTTGCATTACACCAGCTACTTTTGATTTCCACTTTTGCCACTTGGTAGCCTGTAATTTTCATAATGGTACAGAGGAAGGGAAATTTAAGAGCTATCTGCCTGGATTCAATTTCTAAAATCACCACTGACATATGATACCAAACAAATCTTTCATTTTCTTTATTCCAGCTAACCCAACTGTGAAACAGGAATGTCTAATCTCACAAAGGTTGCAAAGTTTTAAACTTACACTTGGGAAGCAGAATTAAACTTTTGCATAAAAATCAGAAACAGCTCACATCAATAAATCCTGCCTGCACGTTCTTTGTGATACGTGAATGCTATACAAAATATCTTTTGCCTGCAAAGTGTCTTAGCAATTCAAGCTACCACTTAAGCATGTATATTAATGAATCATAGCAATGTATTCATGATGCAAGTGATTCTGTAATCCGACAGGAATTTGACTGTATCATAGTTTCACCCTCCCCAGGTCTTTTAGAAAAAGTAAAGGTCTATGAAAAGATTGGACAAGGAAACAAGAGACACTTCCATGTTTCCTTTAGATGTCAAGCTACTTCTACAAAAGAACAGGGACTACTGCATCATTCCACATGACAGTATTATTAAATACTATTATTTTTAAGTATAAATACTAAGAGAAGTTCAAATGGATCACACCATTTTACATCTAAACTTCAGTGTTATTTACATTGTTAAAACAAATGAATCTTCGCTCAAAATTCTCAAAGCAAACCAACAAATTACAAACTCAACTTGCAAAAACAAATCATTAGGTATTTTTGGAAACAGCAAAAAAACCCTTTAAGGGATCTAGAACAAAGCAGCTGCTGCTCATATTTTGCATTTAAATTAGCTTTCAGAAGTGAAGATAAAAAGTTTCTGAAACAACTATACTTGCTTCCCACAGAAACGCTCTACCTCTTTTTTGTGGCTTTGCAATTGTTGCTGCTTCTTCTTTTGAGTACTTTTGTTGCATTCACAGATTTATACACTCACCTGGAGACTGATAAATGAATCCAAACACTTACCTACTCAGGTGTAATATTTGAGGCGTATATAGAAACACATCCATGAACTTCAGAGTCAAGGTTGTGATTTGCATCAGATTACTCAAAGGTTACAGGTTAAAGCACCATAAAACCCGACATTAAGGAAGAAACTCTGCAGCTGACCCCCTGATATTTGACACATCTCAGATCCAGAAAGCATTTCAGCCAGATAGCAGCTTTGATTGTCAAATAATTAAAAAACATTAGTTATGGTAAGATAAAGGAACAGGAAAACCTGAGATTTAGCATTCAAAGGCCTGTATTTTAGAAACGAAACCAAACCCCATGATTAAGAACATAAGCTGTAACTTACTTATTTTCTGTAAAATTGCAAAGATCCAACAGACATTCTCCTTTTAAGATCTAAGAATAAAAAGCAGAAATATCTTACATAATAAAATCAAAACTGTTCCAGCTCTAACAGTGTGAAGGCATGATGGTTTTAGCCAAAATGGAAATGAGATTTAGGAGCATAACTAGACTTTTTTTTGCCTAGACCAAAAGGACTACAATGCCATTAGCAAGACAAACAGATGAGGACAAAGCCCAATTCTATCCAAGCCCTAGATAAACTCACTCTTCAGAAACAGTACTGCTATTTAGGGACTGACCTGATGAACAACTACACAGAAACTTCCAGAGAGCTTGGAAAAGATTTCCAGGATCAAAACCAGACAGGACAATTTGTACACCTGCAACCTTAACCTCTTCCTTCCAAAGCATTTTGTTCAACTCCAAGACAAGCAGTAGGACCCATGCTATCATGACAGTTATCCCATAAAATTATTTCACAATGAGATTATTTTTTTGCCTGAAGAAAACATTATCATCCACAACTCAGTTTTACACTGCCGGGAAAGGAAAGCAAAGATTCTCCACTGACATAAAAAGTCAAAACACAGGGGACCTTACAGCATACATCATTATAAGTGAGAGTAAATTCTGTTCTTGCTAAAATATATACAAAGAAAACCTAACCCAGCCCAAGTTCATTTCCCTGTTAGTACACTTTACTGCAGAACCTGCAGGATTTAAATGGTCTCCCAATCATTCATCTGAGCGCTACCATGCATTCTTAAAACTATTAAGATGTACCTTCCTATCAAATAGTTTTGAAATGTATGGCTTAAAATAGTGTTCCTTTATTCCTTTTGCTTCTACTAAAAGCCCATCATGCAGCTCACACAGTGTGGCAATGATGCAAGGAGGATCTTCAGAGGCTTTGATCTCTGTCACGTGGAAGTCCACTGGCAAGCCTGAGAACAAGGAGGGGGGAGAAAGACAACCAACCTTCAATTTCATTTAAAAAGAAACAAGAGAACAAAGCATATTTGATTTTAAATAATCTGTCCCCACTGTACCTTTAAATGATGGATTTAGCAATTCTCTTCTATTTGGACACAAAAGGGCATTTGCAAAAATCAGGTCCAAGCAGCACAGAAGCAAATGATAGGAATTTACTAAATCATCTCCAATCATACGGAAATTACCTTTAAGAGACAGCACATGTCAAGCAACACAAAAGAAGTTCATAGCTCAGGATGCATACAAACCATGCAGCTAAAAAAGGCAAGCCTACCCTTAGTGTACACAAAGAGAGTCCAGCAGAAGTTGAAGAGATCTTTAACACTGCATGGCACCCACCTATCAATGAGGAAAACGAGGGAGAAGTCAGTCTTCAGTTCCAGAAAGCTGAAGCTTGTTTTACAGTGAGAATTTCATTCCATTTGCTTGCTCACAATAACAGTCAGAGCCGTTGTCTGCCTTAATTTCACACGAAGGCACTATCTCAGCTACATGTCTTTATTTCAGCTTTCACTAACTGACGGTCTCCTACCTCGCTCCATAGAGAGTTTTGCACAGCATCCCCAACCTTCTGACCCCTTTTTGAGCCAACGACTGCCTTTGGTCTGTGACTCCAGACACGCTATTTTGCTGGTGTCGCATCTCTAACAGAATCCTCCCTCAGCTCCAGGCAGTGAGATGCCAAGGGCTACAAAAATTCCAGTGACAGTTTTTCTTAAATATTTTACTACAGCATCAGTCATCCCTTCAAAATATGCAACTACAGCTTGTATTACAGCTCATCTGCTGAATCATGTTTGGAGTAGAGATCATCCAAAACCATGGAGCTGGACAACCAGGGAATACATTATTCAAGACAGCCCACACAGATGCTAAAGCTGCAGTTACACTAATGAGTGCTGCTCCCATGAAAGAACATTAACAGAGCATACCAACAAAACTTCTCCCAATATGCAGCGATACCCACAAAGTGATGCCCTGCCATAAGTAAAGAGCTGTAGCAGCAGAAGTATCCTTTCTACCTGCAGATGTGGAGCTATATCCCTCCTCACTCCAGAGGACACACATGAGCTGGCAAAAATATCTCACACAGACTCAGCTCAGCTCCGTCATTATTAAGGTTACACTCTTGCTGTAAAGCTACCACAGAGACGGCTGCACAGTTGGCAGGGAATACAGACAAGCTCCTTTAATTAAGGCAGAACTTCTGTGTGTGTCTGGAAGACGATACCACCAGTTACTAAGTTTGTCATAAAAATGAGTGCATCAGCTGTAACTTCCTTCCATTTGCATGTTAGCACTCATATGGCAATCACATTAAAATCCCGTAACACGTAGGTCACTGTGGATGTAATGCCGCTTTGTACAGAGGGATTATGTCACGACAGCAGCTACCTCAGCCGGCACTTTGCCAAGGCAAAATATTCCCAAGCTACTTAAGCTATTTCTGCTAAACGTTTTAAGTGTCGGTCTTGCTGTATCTCAAGTTAATCCATCTCACTGTACCTCTCCCCACCACACAGACATTCTCACTGTAGGCCAGTTTCTGCATGTTACAGTGAACTGCGTCAACAGCCACCGGATGCAAAGCTCTGCTGATGCAAGCTGTACCCCACCAAGATTAGGGGTGTTTCTGTATTCATTGCATTTCAGAATCAAGGCCACAAAGAGGCCCTATCACTTCAGAACTTTATGTAACTTTTAAAAGCACAAATAATGATCTTAATTTTCATTAATCTCTATTAGGTATAGCCCTTTCCAGGGAAAAGTAACATTAACTCTCAGAAATACCTCTGTTTCCTGCTTCGCTGTGGTTTAGAAGTTTCTTCGTAAGGGTTTTGAAATATATCCAAAAATATTGGTTCAAACTTTTTGAAAATCACAGTTGAGACTTCAAAATTTCTCTCCAGCCTCTCCACTCGCTCTCGGAATTCCTGTGGTAGATTTGACATGTCCATCCACTTCTTCATTTTGCTAAAAAACTGAATTAAACTTAAAAGAAAAAAGAAAAGTCTGCTTTATTTTGAGCTTTAACTAACTTCCTGTATTCTGAACTTTTTAAAAAGCCAAAATGCAACAGATTTACTCCTTAACGACTAATGTGACTAATATATAGGTTGACCATTTATTTTGATAGACTCCCAAACAGTATATATTGTAAGCTTTTTGCCTTGTATCACTTTGGTTTTTCTCTTTGACTCTCCCTGAAGCACAGGCACAGAACCACTGATTTTATTTAAAGGCTGTCCGCATAACTGTGTCAGCTAGGGAAGGGGTAGAAGTGAAAGAGCAGGCACAGCTCTGCACTTGTAGAGGGGGAGGCAACAAAACCACAAACAAGAGTCTGTGCCTGTCGAAGTTACCTACACAAAACCCCATTAGCTGTAGGTGCAATTACACTGGCAAACCCCGCTCTGGCAGTTCAGCTGAGGACACGTCTTTAAGTGGAACGAGAAACACTCCGAGTTCTGTCATCTCAGGTCAGAGCTACAGTGGCAAGTGCAGGTGCCTGCCAGAAAGCCCCGGCAGTACATAAATATTTACGTGGTCGCAGAGTTCTGTGTTGGCAGAACGCTGAGCTCGGCCGCTGGCACTATGTCTAGCAATTTAGCCTGAATCCCAAGTCAGACACGAGTCTTATCTGGCCTGCTAGCAGAACGTTCAGAGGTCCTGTCTGCATTTCAATTAGTTACAAAAAGAAAAAGAAATAATTGGCATGGGTGGAACAATCACTGGTCTGACGTGGTTGGTTTTTCAAAGGCTGGAAGCACCAAATTACGCAAATTTGCATCTTATTTCCATTTTTAGCAAAAGAGAGTTTATTGCTTTTACACGATTACCTCGGGACGTGTGTTTTGCAGCGCTCGGAGCCGTGAGGAAAGGAGTGGGTCCCTGCACGGGTGGCCTTACCGGGGCAGCGCGTGAACGGGCGCCGCAGCGGAGCAGCCGGCAATTCATCAGCCACGGCGATTAATTAACCAGCCGCGCGGGCAAGTTCACCTGAGCCTGGCGGAGCGCAGGATCCTGGTCAGCGACACGCCGTTCCCCTCCATCAGGCCGCTCCCCACGGTGGGCACCAGGCTCTTGCGGCAGGGGCCGGAGGGGGGCGCGGGCCACCCACGG